ATCAATGGCCATGTGTGGGTCAGGCCTCGCTAACATATCTTAACAGGTTACATGCATCCTGGCACAGGTCATCTACCCTGCACCATCACAATATTCTAGTGCCCAGGCCTAAAATGAGGCATTCACAACACAGTAGGTAGGGGGTCAATTCATTCTCAGGCATGCAGGACTCAGGGCAACAAGAGCCCAGTTCGTATTTGTGGAACTTTGATCAGCTGCGTATTAAAATGATAATGGTGGTCGTTTTATTTGCTACAGTTCCCCATTTTGCATACTAAAAGAGCCAAGCACTTGGTAAAGGCTGCCTCTTTCACTGCCCAAAGATGGACATTGTGTATCTTGGGGAAAATTCACCCTCATTGATGGACCCTTAATGGGTGGCATTGAATCAACTCTATTATACATACCATCCAATTTTCCATGCCATTATAATTAAACCTGTGAAATCTGACTCATAATCAAGATTATTGCTTCTTCTGTCAAAACATAATTATTGTGGTTTGTTTGATAATCAAGGTCTCTGTCAGCCCAATAGAAACGCCAGACACATGTATTTTCATTTGCATATTCACCTTAGTGATTTTTAATAAAGCTGCGCTGAGCTAGATACCATGCAATCTCAGTCATTGAGACTCTCACAGACTAGACACATAACCTAGGCTCCTTTTGTTGTCTCCTATTTTCTTTCAGTTTAGCAATGTTTTAATAATGAGGCATTTTTCTGCATTATTCCTTTATATGCAGCATTTTGGATAGAGTTGCAACTCCACTGCTGGGGCATTGGATTTATGTGACTTTAGAAACCAGTGACTCTGAAATATAATTAATAACCTTGAGGGAACTGGTGGTATATGTTCTGAACATGTTGAGAATTGGCAGATTGTTGGAAAATTGTATGTATCACTGAAAATACCTCACGTTTACTTAATTGATCATTTGAGTGGGTTTTAGTTGTTGGCTATTGATATCCAGCTTTCCTTTGTGGAAGTTTTTTTGCCGTTTAGCTCAGTTCTTTCTGCCTGCAAAGGGATTGAAGATGATACCCAATTCAAAGAGGTCTTGCTTTTCAATTGAAGGCTAGTTTAGTGTAGACCATCAGCATATACTTAAGTGTGTGGTGTAAGTGTGTACCTGTATGTGCATGTGACTGTGCAAATGTATGGGGATGCTGTACCTACAAACATACAAGTGTATACTTTGAGGTGTACATGTATACCTGTCTGTGTGAATGCGTTTACCAGCATATGTATGTGTATATCAGTGTATCTGTGTGAAGGTGTGTGTGGTTGTGTGTACTTACACATATGTGCATATGAACATTGAACATAATAGAGACCGCAGATGCTGGAAATCAGAAAAAGAACAGAAATTGCTGTAAAACCTCAGCTGGTCTGGCAGCATCTGTGGAGAGAAATCAGAGTTAACGTTTCAGGTCTAGTGACCCTTCCTCGTTCCAAGGAAGAGTCACTGGACTCGAAACGTTAACTCTGATTTCTTCCCACAGATGCTACCAGACCTGCTGAGCTTTTCCAGCAATTTCTGTTTTGACCCCTCATCTGCATGCTTGTCTGTTTGCCATGCTACTGTTTTATTTATTTGGAAAGCAGTATGAGGATTGACTGCTGGTGTAAATATTAATTACTTATTTCCAATCAGAGATTTCCCTGGTTCAATAAATGGTTGGAAAGACGTTAAAGTGGCGGTTTTTAGGTGTGTCCCCATATTTGAGGTGTGTGGTTCCTCGGTGTAATGGTGCAAAGAACCTAGAGAGAAGGCAACCAATTGTATGGCTTTATTTTCACCTTATTGCTGCCGCCATTATTCAACAGGAAGAGGTGGGGCAGAACGTTGTTGATACACGACCCACAGACACTGGAAAGTGACATTAACAGAGCCTTGAGCGCAATTCATTTACTCATAATCATCATCTCTAAAAAGAATGTAGATCAGGAAAATGGAAGTGCTTGAAAAAGGAGGAATGGGAAAATAAAGCTTGTGGAAAATACATTATCTAAGCCTAAAGCTGGAAAGCGACTATAATTTTAATGGAAAAGGATAGTGAAATTAAATTTAGGAAATGCATTGTGACAAGGATAGATTTGTTGTCACAGTGCTTTGTGAAAACATATTCAGTCCCAGAAAATCTATTTAATTCACACAACTAAATGACAACAGCTGAAATTCTATCCATCACCACCAGCTTCAGTCCAAATTTTTGTTCACATATTGCCTGAAGGAATGATTCAGCAATGCTTTTTACTTGGAAGATACTGCCAGAGACAGCTCCTTGTGTGTTGCTTATTCTTTTCATTTTTCTCTCAAGCTTTGCAATTGGGTTCATTAAAAATACAAAGAAAACACCATTTGTTTAGCATAATTCAGCCTTGCCATTAACAAAGTTTTAATCGATAAATAATACATATCAATGGTTTAACCAAGTCTGCGATGTCTTATGTCGATATCTAGTAAAATATTGCTTTCTTTGTGTTTGAAATATCCTTTCTTCCTAATTCATGAGTAAAAAGCTAATATTAAAGATCAAAAGCAATAGAATGGCTGTAGTTATTTAAATCGAATATTTGTTAACTAAGTGTTGCCAGTCTCAGTTAATCTGCTGTCTTTTGGACAAATGTTCCATCTACATGTTCAAAAAGATTAAGCAGCTGAGCAAAGAGCATAATCTGTCCTTTTTAATAATAGGAAGAGAAGCAGAAACAGAGGCAAGTGACTCTGAGAAGGAGACACCATGACAGGAGGTGATATCATTACCCCTGTTTGTAGCACTGCATTAATGCTTAAGTTACATCAGTTAAGCACTTATGGCCTCTTTAGCCTCTCCTGCCATTCAATAACATCACAGCAGAACTGATTGTAACCTCAAATCTATTTTTCTCTCTACCTCTGATAAACTGACTCTCTTGGTAGTCCAGAATATACCTATCTCTGCCTTAAAAGTATTCAGTGATCTCACTTCCACCATTCTCCAGGGAAGAGAGTTCCAAAGACTCCTGACCCGTAGGGAGAAGAAATTCCTCCTCACTTTTGTCCAAAGGGAGAGACCTCTTATCTTTAAGCTATGTCCCCTAGTTTTCATCTCACCCACGAGATGAAACATCCTTTCAGCTTACATTGTAAGCTAATAGATTTTTCAAGGAAGTTTGGATACACATTTTTAATAGCAATTCG